GCATAATTGGGTGATAGCGCGGGGTTTTGGTAAGAGAACCACGTGTTTTTCAAATGGGCAACATGTGGAAGTATGCATGGCAATTGACAAGGAGCGGGAAATAGCGCATTTTACTTGGCTCACTATCTACTCTTCTGTCTGCCAATTGTGTACTTTATCAGTTACCCATTAATTACCTTATTTTGCGTGCACAACAACTCTTCACTACTTGTAAAAGACGAAAAAGGCCAATGTTGGAATTTGGGTTACAACTCCATCGGTGCCGCCTCAATAATTATAGCGCAACTTTATTTTTTTTGTGGTTAATGTCCGGATCAACTCGTGGGTAACTCGATTAAATTTATAGGATATTTATTATCTATTACTAGTACAAGTATATCTAAGTATATTTATCTTTGTTGAAGTTTGAATGTGAGATGGCATTATTCTCAACTCACATTACTGATTACTAGGCAATATCTTGAATGAACCGAGGATGTGAAATTAGTCAATCAAATCATCTAAGAATATAAAATATTTATATGAAATCTCTTTGATAAATTGATAAGCTGATATGAAAATAGCTACTACTACTACTACTGATTAACATGTTATCTAGGTTAAACTATCCAGAAATATTGCATGTAGAGAAAATCTTTACATTGTCCATATACAATTGAAATATATTATATATAGGGCTAACACATAAATTTAATTCCGTGAGACTTATATTATGCAAATTTGATCAATCTAATTCAAAACTATAACAAGCAAAATTTAGTGACGATAGAAAATATGACTTAATTAAGAGAGTGCAAGAGAAGAAGCTGGCATACGGTTACAATACGTTTTTTTCTCAATAGAGGTGAGAAGATGCGTTCTTATATTGGGAAGATAAAAGTAGAGAGAGAAAAAGAGGAAAAATGAGTAGCAAAAGTTAAGGTTATACTACGTAAGTGACTAGTAGCGCACACCGTGTATATAAACTCTTATAATCATCTGGTTATATTTCTTAATGTGGCAATAATTTACTCTACTTTGTATTAATTGCTGGTAAAGTTTACCTGTGTGACTGAAATTAGAAACAAATTGTACGTATTAGCCAATTATATATTCTTACTTCTACTTACTAGCAGTATGTGATACTCTACATATATAGTATATATCTCGACCGACTTGCATGGAATTTATCATGTTTACCCTAAAGCAGTACCAAAAGAAAACCCACTGAAGAGAGAGAGAGTATATACTTCAGATTATCTCCTCAAGAGGATATCCACAATCTCAACGGAGCACCTGCATTCCTTCCCAGAATTTGTAAGTTGGATTAGTCGATAGTAATGGCATTTCCTTTCTGAGAATCGTTTTCTGTTGTTTCAAACTCAAAACGCTTTAGCTTGGCATTTCCCCTCCACCTCATGCACAGAGGCGGAGAGAGGATTTGAATCTTGTGGGTTCGAGATCTTTTAAGTTACTAGATTCTAAATTAATAATTTATACATATTCAATAATTTTTTAAAGATAAATATGTGATTTGGATCAAAACTACTGAGTTCGGTGAGGAGGAAAGATTTGCTGCTTTCATACTTCTTCTTCCTGCTACGCTCTTGCTTTCCCACCGCTCCGTGGGGTGCCTTTTCTTCTCACTTGAGAGCTGCGATTTGAAAGAAGAGAAGAGGTTCTATCAGTTAATTACCGTCCCTTCCTCTAATGAATTAGATCCCATCTGCTAACTATAACTCAACTCCGAGAGAATAATGAAAAGCAAGAAAATCCTTTATTCGAAAGTCGTTGCTAATCTGATCTTTTCTTTTCCTAGGCGTGGGCGAGACAAAGTCTTCTTAGTCTTCCGCTTTTTCGGTGATATCTATAAGAAGGAATACCTATCTCAAGGCAAACAGAAGTTCCCGGCTCAAGCGAAATGATACCGGCGCAAGGTAATTCAATTCTTTAGTTTGTGGCAGAGAGTTTTAGAAGACTCTCGGTTATTAAGGTCACTGCTTAATATACACAGCCCCTGACCTCTACCCCTACTCTAGTCAGCTTTCTATCTCTTTCTCCAACCTTCGATGATCCTCCCGCATGCAAATCATCAATAATGATAGGCCTGATCCCTAAGTTGAGCTCTAAAGCCTGGATTTCTTCCTTAAGCTAAAGCAAGGGCATGGCCCCGGCCGCCCCTGCTCATGCAAACTGTGAAGCCTCTCGTTTATTTCATATTGTTACTTCATATTTCCTGAAAATATTTCTTGGATATTTTGTCATTTTTCGGTGTAAATATATTCCTACATTCTACCGTCCACACACACCAAAAAGAAAAGAAAAAACTTAGATAGAAAGTTCACCAAATTAAAATGCAAATAATGACTTCTTTTCACTTTTGAATATAATTCATTTGCCTTCGCAACAATTTTTAACTTTACTTTAGGCATTAATACTTTATTAGGCACTGAGTTTAATAAAGAAAGAAATATTTGTAAAATTTATGATATTAAATATATTATTTATAACGATAAAATAATGTCAGTAACGGTAAAATAATTTTTTTTTTAAAGTTAAACTACTTTCTAATATAAAAATATGTTTTTTTTTTCTGAAACAAATTATAAAGAATATAGTGTTAACTGTTAAGGAATACCAATTTAATACTTCTTTTTGTTATTTTTATTAGCAGTTATCAAAAAATGTTTTCCCGAAAGATATTTCCATTCTTCAACAAAAATCAGAAATCCTTTTTCTTTTAAAATTATAATTCATTTTTTACAAATAAATTTCAGAAAATGTTTTGTCATTATCAAACAGGAGGCGTGAATAATCTTGAATCTTGTCTTTTCTAGGGCCTCCAAGTCGGTCTTAACATCAATGATGTTTGTTGCTTGTTTAACCGCACTAATTGCTTGATTGGTCAAGTTTTTAAATTCAGTTTATTTTTTAAAAAAAAAATTATTTTTAAGAAAGTACTTTTGATAAGTAGTTTATTTTTGATTAATTAATTTAAAAATCACTTTTGAACAGTAATTAATATTTGACCAAACTTTAAAAAGTGTTTCTAAGTATATTTTTCTCAAAAATACTTTTTTTTTAAATTATGAAGAATTTTTTTTTTCAATTTCTCATAAACTACTTTTGTTTCTACTCAAATGCGTTTTCGTCCTTTTAAAATTAGCTTAGCCAAATACCTTAATTTGGATAAAAGCTCTTTTGGCCAAAAAAAAAAAAAACCATTGGCACAAAAATGGTCGGTCAAACAGGCTATAAATCTTGAGCAATTTATGCAAAATATCCATTGAGCTTAAAATAATTACCCTACCCATTTGAAAACTATTTACAATATATACCTATCCAATTTAAACTTATTACCCCCTATACCCATTAACCATTTGGCTTGGCTTAGCTTGATTTGACTTGACTTGGTTTGAATTGACTTGACTTGATTTGCTCGGCTTGGCATGAATTGGCTATGCTTGGCTTGATTTAGTAGCTTAGTTTGACTTCATTTGATTGGCTTTGACCGGTATTAAAAAAAAATGGGTAGGGGTCAAACCACATGGGTAGGGGCGGGTAAATAGTTTCCCTGCCCGGGTATTTGCCAAGGATCTCTATAAATCTTGTTAAACCATAGTATAGTAGGAGTACTATTCTTTAATCCAACGCCGAATCCAAGATTTTAAAGTCACGGGTTAACTATTTTTATGACCTACTAGTTTTTTTATTTTATACAAGTAACGGTGTTTGAGCATGCAGCTGGGGCCACAGGGCCAAGCTTTTAGATTATTTAAGTAGGTTAGATGACGGATCAGACATAAAAATTTCCGGAGCATATAAACCAGGATAACAAAAATAAAGCATATAGGAAGAAACCTAAGAAAATACGCCCGCCATGTGGTCCTTCTTAGTTTGTGTTAGGTGTGTACATAGGTCGGGTTGGTTCGGATTTTTTAATTACCAAACCAAATCAATTGTGTCGGGTTATTAAATCTAAAAACCAAATCAAACCAATAAAGTCGGATTTTGGGTTTTAGGGTATTTTCGAATTTTTTTCATAAAGTTTTCATAGCACAAATCATAGAATTTGTGCTCCAAATATTTTCTTAATCCTAGTAAAACATAACTATATAAGATATTTTTCAAGAAAATAACATAAAATATAACATGAGCCATGGCATTGTACTAAAATATTCAACAATAAAGATAATAAAATCGCATAAAATAAATATTATTAATAAGGCATAATAAAAAATAAACATAATCTAAAATTATTAAGTTGCTACATTATGTACAAACTTTACATTACATTATGCCGGTTTTCAGTTTTATAAAAAAACTGATTCCAAGAGTTGTACTGTTATTCCTTTAATTTCAGTGCATTCACGTAACCTAACTTCGACAGTTCCACAACAAAGCCAAGTAGTTCGAGAATAACTATTACCAGAGAAGACAAACATACAAAAGAGAAAATTAATTTCAAAGAAGATAAATTGAAAAAAGAAATTAAGAATTACATATGAGGGGATTAATTAAGTCGACCCCTACTAACTTAAAGAGAAAAACTTCATAGGTTCTGTCATCTCCACTTACTTAATATAGCAAAGGCAAAAGCAAAACCAAAATAAAGAACCACTTTAAGAAAGTTAAGGGACTAAAAATGCTCAGAGTTATATTTAAAGGATAAAAATAGACCTACTCCCATAGATTTAGTCAAAAAATCGTTCCTTTAGCCTAACCTTTTAAATGTGCTACTGCTCCAATAACAAGATCCTCATTCCTTAGCTTCTACACTGAGAATGAATACTGCAACGGCAGGAATGATTGAGCAACTTTCCCAAAGAATAAACAGTACGTATTTCTTAGAATGAAATATCAAAGACATAAGCTTTTCCTATTTTCCCCAGAATGGACTGTAGCATTCAGAATAAAAATGTTTAGGAGAGGATACATAGGTACATAAATAAACAAAAATCACCAACAAATGAAATTAAAAGACATGAGTAAGACATTACTGAATCCCTACACATTTGAAATGGAAAAAAGAGCTCATTATAGTTGGTCTTACAGATGAACAATTAAATATTTCTTTATAATTATTACACCAATATCTTTTACTAATATTAATTTTGGACATTCCTAATATGCAGCGTTTCAGGTACAGCATGATCCTTCATACAAATGGGAATTACAAAGTAGAGGTGCCAAGTTAGAAGCAGCAGATAGATTTGGCAAATTGTTCCAGTAGAGACTACAAGAATACTTGACATATACAATGATAACTAGAGGAAATTCAGCGTCGCTCTCTGCTGTCCACAAATCATGCGGACTGGTGCTCGGTTAGTGAAATCCGAAGCCATCCCATTCACTTCTCTGTTTTTCTTGATCATAGCTATCTGTAGGTGCATATGCACATTTATTTCGTCATTTAGAAAACCATGGAACATATATCTATACAGCCAACACCTAATTTGTGCTAGCAAAAGAGAAGATCTATCATTTAAGATTTACCCTGTCTTCCAGAAGTTTGTTTTCTTCCCTCAGCAGTTTTTCCTGCAGAGAAGAGTCTAAGGTCATATCTTCTGTCACGCGTAGTGTAATGGCAACTTAACATCATATTAATTCTCCCTCAAATAATAATGTATTCTGGTCACAGAGTAGAAATTCCAGGAGAACTCATTTGACTTATATAGTAGCTCCAGAATTTTAACAGAAGTAGGTAGAGCTGTGGACAAGTAACACGACTTAAAAAAAAAGGGCAGCTCGGTGCACTAAGCTCCCGCTGCGGGGTCCGGGGAAGGGCCAGACCACAAGGGTCTATTGTACGCCGCCTTACCCTGCGTTTCTGCACGGTGCTGTTTTAACGGCTCGAATCCGTGACTTCCTGGTCACATGGCAGCAACTTTACCAGTTACGCCAAGGCTTCCCTTCACAAGAAGGACTTAAAGGAACAAAAACTATTCTATCAGTCGTTCAAAAATAATTTACACTTTATCTTATGCAGTGGTAGATAAAATATGATCTTAGGCTCAGGTATTCAAGATCACAAGTTGTTCTCTCCTCCGTCACAATGCTGTGGTTCCAAGGGGCACTTGTTTCAGGAAGATGAGAAGCCTAGATTGTGAGTTTGGTAGTAAAAAACCCTGGCACATTTTAGTCCTGCTGATCATGGATCAGTATTGGTTGAAATCATCTATGCTTAAGAATTTGAATTAAGATGGCATGCAAGTTCTAGGTGGTCACACGAAACTAATCCATGCAAATATAGCATACTATGAGTCGATATCCGGGGAGCCAAAGACAAAGGGATAACATGGCTATGATAGAGTAACTTCACAGGAAATGAAAGTGCAAATGACAGACCAAACTCTTGAGTTCACATGAAGTGCTGAAGTGCGGTGGACGAACTGAAGGATTTTTTCGGAGAATAAGTCATTTTCTGGTGTTCTATTAGAAAATATTTTTCTGAAGGAAAATATTTTTCACCGAACGCGGAACAATGACTTTCCTGACTTTCAGCCCAAAGTCCTTTTCTTCACAACTATCACAACTCTTTAACTTCATGCACAACTATCCAACTCTTGATTATCAAAACATTGTCATGTTAGCTAACGTCATTATAAAGATTTAGTTAATGTTTTTGGAGATAAATATTTCCATTCTTCCATTTTCCAACCAAACACTGAAATCGTTTTCCACAAAATATCTTTCAGAAAAAAGTGATTTTTCGCAGACATTTTCCAAGAAATGTTTTCCGTCATATACCAAACACATTTGTGAGAGTAGCAGCCGAGATTTACCTTCTCTTGAAGACTCTTGATATATTCAACCATCAAATGTGTCTGTATAAAACAAAACAAGTTAAATTTGCTTCCAAGGAGAAATAAATGTTAAACCACACTTAAAAAGACATGGAAATACTTGTAAAAAGACAAAGTGAGGTAAATGGAAGTAAAAGGAGTAGCTGGTGAAATCATGAAAAATTAGAGGACTAGAAAGTAAATCAAGACAAACTAACAAATCACTAGCTGGGATAAGATTACAAGAGAGATAAAGAATGAGAACACTGAACTACACTAGCTAGGGGTTGTAACGCCTAAAAAACATGATGATGTAGCGATATCAACACTGCCCTGGTTTCAGGTGCTAGCTAGTAAGCTTGAGGCAATAAGGGCAGCTGGAGCTTTTCTGCACAGTTCAACACCAGAGTTCCAAATGATGCAACTTTAAATATGGAAGAAAAAAGACACAGAGGAATCCGTTATAACCTTCCGAGATCTGGCTTGCATCAGAGCAGATTGCAGTTGGTTTTCCAAATGGACAAGGTCAGTCACACTGAGACCATCAACATCAGGCTCCTCGAGTTGCCTTTCAAATAGGGACAGAGAATCAGTACTATACCTTTCAAGAAATGAAAGAGAAGCATGAAGGTCAGTACCTTTCTACTGTTTGTAACAGTTCTCCCACTGTCATGAAGCTTGCATATTTAGAGTGCTATTTCCACCTCACAAGGATAGGTAACTTTCAGTACTTGGACTGTAAAATGATTACCAGAGAAATTGAATAACACACAATTAATTGATAATAAGTTATTCCATATATGAAGAATAACTTCAGAGGTTTTTTTTTTAGGTCCAATAAAAAACTAATAGTGTCTAGCGAGATACTTTTTGGTTGATTAACATGATTTCAGGAGATTTGATTATATTTAGGAGATTGTTGATTAGCATGATTTTAGGAGATTTGATTATATTTAGAAGATTTGATTTTATTTGACAGCTGGACTGATTGTATAGATTTATTTTATTTCCTTAATTAGGATTAGGAGATTTGTATAAATTCCCTTGCTTATGGGATGTAAACATACACAGAAATACAAGAAGTCTTTTCTTCTTCTCAAAATATACATTGTTAGGCACTATGATGACAAGTTACTATCGTAATCACTACATACGAGGTTGGACCTTCAAGTCAGGTGGCACACCAACCGGACATGTATGTTAGTGTCTATAGACCTACTCAGAATGCAGGAAGTTGCACTCAGATGCTACAGTGCAATTTTTCTTCGGGATGGGGGGGAGGGGGACTATGTGTCTAAGGAGTTGCTTGATGCTGTACATAGAGTTATTAAAGTTGACGTATTTCAGGTATCCGGAGAGAATCTTAATCTGTAAAGAGAGAACTAATTAATCAAGACAAACTACACAAATACCTCTGTGTCAGAAACATCTCCAGAGATCTCTTTTTCTGCTTCCACATGGTTGTGATATCGTCGAACGATCTCTACCAGGCTGAACCATACAATATTGTGAGATATGATTATTGATGGGTAAGTACACAAAATTGTAGCATACGTTTATTGATGGTTACGTACAAGAGC